GAAGAAGGAGAAATTTGTGAAGAACATGAATTTCTTGCTCAAAGAGTTCAATTAAATTCTTTTGAGAATGCTACTGTGAAGAGTTCGGTCAAAGCAGAGAGTGCAGCTTTAAAGGTTGGTATGCAGTCTTCAAAAATTAAATCCTTCAGCTCAGTTCTTATGAACAAGTTTGAATTGTTGAATAAGGAGGAGCTAGTAGGGGAGGGAGTTGAATTGATTATCTCATCGGTAGCTGCTGGTAGCAATAGTAATGAAAAGAAGAATGGTGGTGGAGAGGATTCTGTTAATAACATAGAAAAAACAATCTGTGATGTGAAGGTGAGTGTGTGGAGAAAGAAAGAGAAATTGGTTCCAATGGGGAAATGATCAAATGCAAGTTTTCTAAGGAGCTTAGAGCCTTAGGGCCTATTAAAAATAAGTCACATGGTAGAATGCTTGAAGGAGTTAACAAAAGAAGAGATGGGGGCTCTTCCCCCATGGTTCTTTAAATGGAATCTATTGCTTTCTGGAATTGTAGAGCAACCAAGAAGAGAAAGGCCTCTCTCTATAATAAGGAGTTTATAAAAGATTTTAAAGTCTTTTTTGTAGGGTTGGTTGAGATGAAGATAAATTCATTTGATAGAGTCTCTTTTGTTAAATTGATGGGCCCTTTGTGGGATTTTTTCCTTCTTCCTTCTGAAGGACTTTCAGGTGGTATTATGATTATTTGGAGAGTGGAAGTAGCATCTTTTTCAGTTGTCAAGAAATTAGATCAATGTGTAATTGGGGATCTTAATGTCTTTAACAAGGGAGTTTGGAGGATCAGCACTATATATGGTAGTAAGGAGACTCACAAGAGAAGGTTACTTTGGGAATGTGTCCAGGAGCATTCTCAAACGGATATCCCTTATGTTATTGGTGGTTACTTCAACTGTATGTTGGCAAAGGAAGATAAGAAGGGATGGAGAAAGTTTGTTTTCTCTCAAGGTCCAATGGAGATGTTAAAATTTATGAATGAGAATGATTTTCATGAAGTTGGGTTTGTTGGATCCAGATTTAATTGGTGCAATAACAAAGTTGGAGGTGGGAGGATCCTTGAAAGATTGGATAGATGTATTCTCAATTATTTAGCCATTAACAAGATTCAAATTGATGTTGTTAGACACCTTGCAAGAGTGGCTTCAGACCATAGCCCTATTGTCTTGAAGATATATGATTCGGTCTCAAATGGAAGAAGGTGCTTAAAGTTTGAAGATGCTTGGTTATCCTTCAAGACTTTAGCTTACATTATTTCTAATGTATGGAAGAAAAACTTCATGGGGGATGATATGGAAATCCTTAATAAGAAGTGCAAAAGAAGCTTGAAGGACTTGTTCTTTTGGAGTAAGTTCAAGTTGAAAGAATTCTCAAAAGAAAAAGATAGATTGAAGGCTGAAATTTCTCAGATTCAAGAGGAGGAAGCTAGTGAGGGCTGGCTGGATGATGAAAAACTTTGGCTGCTTAGGAGTAAAGTCAAAGAGCTAAATTTTATCCTCAATTGTTTGAATACTTGGTGGAGGCAAAGAGCCAAAGTGAAGTGGATTGAAGCTGGTGATTCCAATACTAAGTTTTTCCATACCTTTGCCAATGCAAGGAGAAAGGCCAACTGGATCTCTCAGGTCAGGAATGCAGACGGTATTTTAATTGATGAACCAAAGGAGGTTGAAGAGGTGTTCTTTAATTTCTTCTAGAATAAGAAG